TCCCTTGCACTTCCTCTCCACCCTTTGGAACTCCTGTTGTTCTTTCCCATGTGATTGTTTTCCCTGTATCATTGGCAACAACAGATGTTTCAAGTCAAGGACCCAGCAAATGCCTGCCAAATATGTCAGGTCCAGGAGGAGAGGGATTGTGTCTCTGGGACATTTTTTCTTCATTCTCTTTCAGCAACTGAACATACTTCCTTTCCATTGTCTTTCTGTGGGAAGTTATCTATGGCCGGCATCACAGCCACACAAGAACAAGAAGGTCAGGTGTCATTTTCAGACAGCCTCTTGGCAATCCAAGGGACTTTTCCTCAAGGTCCAAGTAAATCCGTAGAGTAGCTCCTCCCCCAGCCATGCTGGTCTTTTTCTGCATTGTGGTAGGCTGTAAAGGAATATTTCAGAAGAACAATCTTCATTTGTAGCTCATGTCCCATTTCAGTATCTGTGTATGGACACAATGACTTAACAGAACCAAAGCATGTAGCTTGAGAGAGGGGTCAGTAGAGATCTCGCCTGTAACCAAAGCCCCAGAAAGGAGATATTTAAAGAAGCAGGGCTTGTGTTTCCTGGAGAAGCAAAGGCTAAAAGTTAATTCTTCATGAGGGAAAATGTTAGTTGCTAAGTGAGATGATAGGAATTGGCTGTGTTCCATCCGGGGTAGAAAGAGGAAATGTATCTAAGTGGCAGCAGGAAAACTTAAAACTGAATGTAAGAAGCTCCTAACGAGTGAGGGTTTTGACCTCAGCAGCACATTGCTGATGTGTCCTGGGGAAGCTCCTCCTCTGGAGGCCAGAGAAAGGGGAGGACGGATAGTATTCCCAGGCACAGCACAGCCTCTTCCTCAGAGGTCACCTTGCTCCAGAGCCATGTCACATTTCATTTTGTCTGCTGTAGAGGGGCACAAGAGGCACGTGGTGAATAACGTGTGATGGACAACTTGAAGCTAGCTGGTTTTGGGGATGCGGGCAGATCTGGCAGTCGGTCCTATTCAAGAGAAGATCTGTACTGTCCTCGGGCCAAACCATGCTTTTTTTTGAGTCTTGGACTGGTCTTCCTCGGTTGTCAGTGGTCTTTCTACCCTTTCACTTAGCATAGGAGATGACAGTGTATACAGTGATAGCTCTTAGCGTGTTCCTGTCATTGTGCAAAGCACTTTTGGCTCCTCCCACCTGCTCCTCCACACAACTATGCAAATACTTTTGTTATACCCATTTGATAGATAGAAAGACTAGGGCTTTGAAAGAGACCTTTGGGCCAGGATTTCAGCCCAGAGAAGAAGCCACACCCTGGTGAGTTTACTCAGTCTCATCAGGGCTCAAACCCTACTTTCATCACTCTATGGCAGTGATGGCAAAGCTTTTAGAGCTTTTACTGATAACAGATAGCCCACCCCGTTCAGTATGCCACAGGTTCGCCGCCACTGCTGTACAGCAATGATCTTAGACTCATTACTTCTGCTCTCTGAGCTCAGTTCTTTTTTCATAAAAATGAAGATATTACTGGGCCAGGGATTTAGCTCAGTGGCACTGTGCCTGCCTCACAAGCGCAAGGTCCTAGAGTTCGATCCCCAGTACAAAAAAAAAAAAAAAATGAAGATAATACTGAGTGCTCACCTTCCTAGGGAAGATTACATAAGATGAAGCCTCCAGTGTGGTATTTGACATGTAGGAGGTGTTCAGTTTGTTCGTTCCCATCCCCCTGCCTTTTCTGTCCCTTTCCTTGGGTTTTTCCTGGTTTGAGTTATTCCTTCATGATGTCCCTGGTTCTAATCAGGCCTCTCTCCATGACAGGCAGGGAGGGACGTTTTGCAGCTCAGTGTCCCTCTGATGTGGACCGCTAATTCCTTAAATTTACATATCATCTTTCTTCCCTGGAGCTCATAGCACTTAACAGACAAGTGGGGCACAAATGATTTAACTAAGTGAAATCCAGAGGCCTGCTTGTCTGGAGATTCTGCAAACCGGTGGATTAGCTCAGATGTCAGTGCTGAATTATGATCCTTCAGCTGCTCGTGCTTAGCACGCCACCAGCATTAACTCCCTGGTCTAGCAGTGGCCTCTAAATCCTGCACAGTGATTATCATCCCGCTGTGAGGGGAAGAGAAGGCAGGAAAGGAGAGAGGAGGAGTTACAGAGGGTCCCTGGAAGAGGCTGGCCCTGAGACCTCTGGTCTGGTCCTGCCTCAAGTTCCAGGAACGGGCTGGGTCAATGGTACAGACCCCTGATACAATCCAGTCGGCCCCAACTTTACCACCCAGCATACATTTTGCTTACCCTCATCAACCCATTATGCTGTGATTCCTGCCTCATAAGAGTGCAAATTCACACAAATGACAGTATTTCTGCCAAGAGATTTTCAGGCAGCAAGAGGGTTTTATTTGTGAAACTGTGAAGGAAGAAGGCTGAATAATAAGTCTCTGCAGTTTGGTTTCCTTTAGAGCCAAGGTGGGAACAGTCACAGTGCTTGGAAATTACCAGGAGTGTAGGAACATCTTGGGGCTTCTTGTTGGTGTCTCAATTCACTGAGTGCCTCCATAGGTCACCCTGTTATTAATTCACCTCACCTTTGAAAGGGGCTTTGGGCTCAGGAGAATGGAAGGAATTATAAAGGGATTTTGTGAATCCAAGAGATTGCCAGAGGCTAGCTGATTATCCCTCCATCCCCGATTCCAGTATATAGCCTCATAACATTATTCATCTGTGTGTCATTCATTCATTCATTCATGCACGGGAAGAGAATTTCCTAGGGAAAGAAGGAAATAAAAAAGCAGCATTAAACCTTATATGCACAAGACCAGAACCCTACAGTTTAACTGAGGTGATAAGAAAATCTCCTACAGTCAAGTTATAGTGCCAAGTAATGTGGGTAGGTACCTGCTAAAACCCACAGAAAATGGCCTCACGTCCTTTTAAAGGTAGGTAAAGTCAGTGACACTGTCAGTAAATGCTAGAGTTGTTGAGAGAGGAGGAGACAGATTAACGCTGCTTGTGTCAGAATGGTTGGGAAAACAGTTGGCACAAGAGATGGGATAGGTGGAGAATTGGGGAGTGAGGAATTAAGGAAAGAGGAGAAAAGGCAGCAGCAAGCCCAGTGGAGACATTGTTTGCCTCCAACAAAATGTGATGCGATGCAAGGTCTTGGCTACAGCACCTACAGGCAGCTGCAGAAAGGTGGGAAAACCCTTAGTCTAGGTGGTACCATTTAACCAGCCTCTCTACCTTGGACTCTCATCTTTATGAGCCTCAGTTTCTTCATCATGAGCATGCTAGCGCATATCACATAGCAGATGAAATAAGTCATACCAGTGTGCTTTGTAACCTGTAAAGCATTATGCAAATATGAGTTGTAATTATTATCATTAAGAGTTGTAGCAAAAAGATCTGATAGGGGAAGTGTAGGTTTAGAAGATCACTGAGTGTCTAGCTGTGATATCGGGATCTCCTCCCTCACAGACCCCCATCATTAAAATTCTCTCCTAGAAACAGCTGCCTCTTAGTTATCTGTGCTGACTTGGCCTTGAAGAGCTCAGGTGTTGTAGGGTATGAAGACTGACACAGCTGTGGATGCAGAGAAATTGCAAACTTGAATCCCGCATAGCACACTCCACAGGGCTCCTTAGATTCCTGAAGCAATAATCCCAGAGGGTTTAACAACAGGAAGGGCCTCAGGGAAGCCAGGAAGGTGGGCAAGGTGGCTGGGAGTTGACAAGGAAGAAGTTCTTTCTGCGCTGTTGACGGAAGGTTTGCCTCATCTCTCACCTGGATGTCAGCGAGAGTGATGATCAGTGTGGTATTGACTCAGGGCTCTGGAGTCCTAGCCTGTCCTTGCCTCACAACCCCAGGGTGTTCACGGTCCTTGTTGAGGGAAAAAGCTCTGTGCACATCTGAAACTAACATACCATCACATTAAGGTGACACTGAGGTGTCCCGTGTGCCCACATTCTATGCTGGGTAACAGTAAAAGCCCCCTTGCAGAAGATTCAGCTTAAGTGCCCCTATGTTTCCAGCCAAAAGCAGGCAGTAAGATTCCCTCCTCAGATGCATCTTGCTTTCTGTACTAATGGCCAGAGTTCTCCTGCGCATGCTGGGGTCTAAGATGCCAACCTCTCTGCACGTCTCTGCAAGGCATAGGTCTGCCAGTGGTAATGTGACCTCAGTCTAAAGCATAAGAGTCGGATTATTTGAAACGAATCCACCAAAAGGGCCATTCTCCAAACATTTGGGTTGGTGAAGCCATGATTTCTCAGAATATGTACATTCTGTGCTAAACACACAGCCTTTGTTAATGCTGGTAACCTTATCTTTGTCATTGGACCTGTGTGTGCATCCAGCTGCTTGAGAAAGGCCAAGTTCAGGTCCCTTAGGGTATATGAGGAATGGAGCGAAATGTCAGGCCCTCTGAATTACCCTGCTCAGCCACCTCCTGTTCTGCTCGAAGTTGACACTGGCTTCTGAGTTGTGGTCGCTGGAGCCCAGGGGTCATCTAGCAGCATTGGCAGAGACAGAAGGTTTTAAATGTCTTCCCTTTGGACAGTGACCAGCCAAGATGAGGCCTGAAGCACAAACCACCTGGCCAGAGTCACCTTCCTGTCTAACAACCACCTCAGCCCATGTAAACTGGTCCCTTGTAATCAGTTCATCAGACTACATTGGCCCTTTGGGTAAGCCCATGGTGAATAAGATATGAGTCTGGCCTTCAAGAGCCTAGGAAGAGAAGGCAAGCCTGTACTGAACCAGCCAAGATGTAAGACTGAGACAGAAACAGAAAGAGGGAACCATGGGACTTAGAGAGACTTAGAAAGGGCTTCAGGAGGGGACAACATTGGAATCAGGGCTCCGAAGGATCCCTTAGAAAGAGACACAGGGCTTGGAGAACAAGAATGTGAGAAAATATAAAACGCTCAAGCTGCAGTCCCAACTTTCCCCTGCAGGAGCCACAGCTGCAAAATGTCTTTCCAGGCATTTACCAGGAATCCCTGTTTGGGTTTGTTTCCCCAGATGACAGGAATTTCTTGCGGATGCAGAGTGACAGCAGGCGAGAGGGCCAGTATGGACGGATCATTAGCCCACCTGTGCACCTGCCTCAGAGCCCTATGTGCCTGGAGTTCCAGTTCCAAGCCACAGGCGGCCGTGGGGTAGAGCTGCAGGTGGTGCGGGAAGGCAGCCAGGAGAGTAAGCTCCTGTGGGTCATCCGCGAGGACCAGGGAGGCCAGTGGAAGCACGGACGCATCATCCTGCCAAGCTACGACATGGAGTATCAGGTGGGGTGGGGTGGGGAATTGGGGGGAGATGCAGGGGAATCGCTGTGGTCCCCATTCCAATATTTCAGAGGGCTGCACCCATTCATCATTAGGGACATGGTTAAGCACTGCCATTTTCATTGTGCTTCCCCTGTCACCATGGCAACTAAATGACACTCTTATTTGTTATTCAGAATGTGCCTATCTCTACACCCAGACTTGGTTCTTTGTTCCTCCTATTTCCTTTTATATTGCTGAAATCTTCTCCAACGAACGTTTCTTCTCTCCATTTTATTTTAGATTGCTATCAGGTAGGCTGACAAAGGCACACAAAGCACGAGGAAATAAACACAAACAAACCCTCCACACACAAGGGAAGGGGCTGTGGAATCCCTCAGAGTCCAGGAGGAGATAGGAGCAGGAGCCCTGGGAGAGGCACAGATGTGGTTTGCACTCCTAGGCCAGGGGACCTGAGAGAGTCCTAAGGACTACAGGAATTGAGTTCTATTATCTCTGCCCCACAGAGCAGGAGACTGAGGCACAGATGGGTGCAGGCAGCTGTAGCTGCATCTCAGGGAGGAGTAGATACACTGTGGATGAGGTGACTGAGAAGCAGCCAAAGCATTAACCTGCTCCTCCCCAGATGAGGAGCAGCAACAGATGGCTGGAGAGGCAGCCAACTGCTCCTCCGCCTGCCAGAGGACACACACTCATTTGCAGAGAAAGCCCGAGGAGGGCGAGGATGAGGAATGGCCGGAGACTGCAGAGCACAGGGCTTGGAGTTGCAAGGCCCCTGAGACACCCCGCCACTGCCGGCCTGGGTTCCTACTTACTAACCAACCTCATGCATGTCTTATAAGTACTTGTTTGAATTTTTATCACATCCACCAGCTTCTCCCGGCAGAAATCCTCATGGGTTTTGTTACTGTCCTTGTTCCTGGCACATAGTAGGTGCTTGGTAAGCCACTGAGGAAAGGGCAAATCATTTTCCTCCCAGTTGAAATAATGGGGCCCTAGGCATGTTGTCCACAAGGCAGCTCAAACCTGTAGGCTGTTTCTCACATTACCCTCACCTGCTCACGTCCTCTGAGTTTTCAAATGCCTGGTCTGAGTATCTGAAAGATTTGTGGGAAAGGAACCTCAGAAACAGGGAAATTTTAACCTCCCTTAAAACACACCCTGATCGTGGTCCTTTTAATCAATACATTCCAGTTACTGGACAACAGTATCTGTCACCTTGCTACATTTTCTTGTACTCTAAAATATGCATTTGATTTGAACCAGCTCTCTTTAAATTAAGATCTCAAGAGCTGTACCCATGTGGTCAACAGATGTGTACCAGGTGCAATAATATGCACATGCATGAGAGTGCGCACACACGTTAAGCTGCAGTTAATAGAAAACTGGAAATCTTTTCATTTGGACCAAGAGGTTTAGTTGACCATGGCTCTTGTTCTTCTGGCTTCTAGATTGTGTTCCAGGGAGTGATAGGAAAAGGACATTCAGGAGAGATCGCCATTGATGATATCCGGATAAGCACTGATATCCCACTGGATAGCTGCATGGGTATGTGACTACCTGTCTCTTTGTGGCTCTTTCAAATAAGACACCAAGGGCTGAGATATACAAGAGGTAATGGTTTTCAAACAGTCATTCCCAGTGAGTGGGCCAGCACCAGTCTATGCAGGCGCTGAAGTGCCGGTGTGGTCATAGCTTGTACTGATGTCAGGGTGGAAGGGTTGGGAGATGAGATGAAGGCTTATATCTATGTTCCTGGTCAGAAGTAGACATGCACTGTGCATACTCAGGGTGCCAAGACCCCATCATCAAACTCCAGTTTTTAGCAAAGAAAATGCTAGAGAATGAGAGCAGCTGCCAGTCAGAATTATATGCTGGAAAGGTTTGATGGATTTAATAGAAGCCTTCAGTGGTGAGCAAAAATAGTAAATGTGTTATATAAGACTAATAACACAGTTACCCAAACAGTTCTTTTACGTGAATGAATTTCAGAGGACATCTTGACATATGAAGTAAGATAGTACATTTTGCTTTAAAGCTCATACCTCTAATATCCAAGACCCTGGAGTTATAGGATTATACATTGCATACTGGGTGATCAGCATAGGAAAGACACTATTACTAACCCCCTTGGTTAGAAATGCTGAGCAGCAGGCCCTCTTGAGAGGCACACATTTTGTCCAGGGCCACATAATGCATCAGGGCCATCTCAAGAGGACCCTGACCATCTACCCTCAGAGGGACAGACATTTTCGAGTAAGAGGGGACTCCTGAGAAAGACAAGGACCTGCTTTCGGTCAGCACAGGGTCTGTAACAAGTCCCCAAGGCCCACGGGTCCCACCTGTGTGTGTGCCTAAAGGTGTCAGAAGCAACATCGAATGGCCCAATCCCCTTGGCAATCCTCAGGCTCTGGGCATCTAAAAGTAATCCTGTCTCTGAGAAAGTAATCAGTGGTAAGTGACTGATTATAATGCTTCAGGGACCCATTACTCAATGAAGGACTTTTTGTTCCAAAGTAATTTTGAGAATCCTCTCCACCCACCTGAACCCCATGATGATGACATGTTGTCACAGTTGAGAACACGTGGAGGATATGGGGCACTTTCCATAATCATATTTCCAAATACATGATCTAATGGAAATTATCACAATCATTGTGTTCATCCAATTATTTCTTTCCTTAATCTAACTCAATTTTTCTTCTGTTTTCTCTCTCAGAACCCATGTCAGCTTTTGCAGGTGAGAATTATAAAGGTAAAAAAAATTTTGCATGCCTTTTCCTTCCCCCATGTGATGTGAATTTGGTGGTGGTGGTGGGTGCAGGGGAGGGAGTAAACTTCCAAATTTGACAAACTCCACAAGAAAGTAAATGCCTCACCTTCCCACCACTAGATGGCACCAACAACACCTGGAGATGTGGGGATTGAGATCCTGGCTGTCTCTTGTTTAATTAAAGTTTAGAAACCTATAATGGAGACAAATAGGTTACAGATAAACCTTTCAGCCTTGCATTGTCCAACAGGGAGCAATGAGGCTGAAAATTCAGGAGTAGTGAGAAAGGAGAGACTGGGAAGATTAAACCAAAAAAAAAAGAAGAAGAAGAAGAAGAAACCCCCAGTAAATTAAAAATGAAATGAGGTGGTAAGGATTTGTTTTAGCCTGAAGATGGGTTCTTTGCAGCTCCAGGGTACCAAGAAGGTGGTCTCAATTAACCTTCAGAGAGGTGCCAAGGCCAGGGGTTTTGTGAGAGAAGAATGCTAACAATAATCAAGAAGAAGAGTTGACAAAGTCAGAAGCTGGAGTCTGGCAAAGGGAATAAGGAGGCACATTCAGTGACAGTGAGAGCACTTTAGATACAGGCCTGAAAGGCAGAAAAGGATAGTTTCTCCCTTAAAGTAAATGGGAGCAGAGCATTATGTGTGCCTTATTGGCAAGGGGAGGACTTCAATTTTGAGTGATGGTTATGTTTGTGCTTTTCTAATGCAGTGGGTCCTGCATCCTGCCCTCTTTGTAATCCAGCTAGTTGACATCAAAGTTTCTGTCCAGGTTGCTAAAGCTAAACATTTAGGAGGTGCTCTAAACACTTCCCTGCAGTTGGCCAAAGTGTAAAACATACTCAGAGACTCCATCAGCTAATGACAGGGAGTTTTCAGTACCTATTTGGTGTGACCAATCTGAGGGCTAGGGTACCCTGTTGGCAGTGGCTGGGGTAAACCCTACAGGGGACAACCTTTCAAAAAGAGAAGCAGCCATTTCTGTACCACACATCTCAATGCATTATCTTTCCTCATTAATCCGCCCCACTCCTGGTTGTAAAGGGATGAATTCCTGCTTTGCCACCTATGTTCTCCCTGACTCCATATCATTGGACCTGATTTGCCACTCATCACAGCTCTAAAATAAGGGGGAGAGTAACAGCACAGAGGAGAATAACAGAGACATGCAGAATGAATTTTTCTTTCTTACTATTCCTGGCCTCCCTGAACTCCATGCCTCTCTCCATTACATTTTAAAATATGAAGATTATTCGTGTCCATATATTGGTGGTTTCTGGTTATAAGATTTCTGTCATTGCAAATCCAAAGTGTTAGAAGGAAAGCTGAAAAATTCAAACTGAACAACTTAGATTCCAGTTGAATTCAAGTTCTAACCCTCAGGACCCAAGGTAATGCTTATGTTGGGGAAGAGAAACCTGCTTACATTGTTGCCTCTGACTCTTTGGGTTTTTGAGACTCAAAGCTCTCAGAAAGGCTGGTTCAAGATGTGCTGGCAACTGCCATAGAGGTGCCATTCCGTGCATGCACCATGTCAGGTTGTGACTGACAAGTATGATGGCTAAGGGCTGTGCTTCTGTGAGAGAATAAGCAAACCAGGCACATGTGCTTTTGTTGAAGCCATGTGTGTCACCAGGCAGCGTGACCCAGTCATGTTCACTTGTAAAAAATACCTAAATCTCATTGGATTGGCAGTGCTCATTTAACCAAAATAAGCACAGGGCTTAATAGCTTGTAGGTGAGAATTTCCAGTGCACTCCTGATGGGTGTTAGGGACTCTGAAGAGTCAGGGCGCGAGTTGCACAGGGTGGCCCATGGCTGTTGTTGGGAAGCTGGCCAGCAAGCACATTGGGAAGGAGGCAACCAAGTCTTGGAGAGCAGAATCTCAGCCAGGAACAGAATCCAGAGCAGAATCAGAGTTAAGAATGGGTCATCATGACCACCCTGGCACATTTTACATGGTGCTTCAAGGGTCACATCTTTAAGGCCTAGGCCTATTTGACCTCATTGTGCTGAGTTTTCAGTGTGCTCTGTGTATTCACTCGAGCAAAATTTTCACTTTGAGAGAGGAAAGAGGGCTGTGTGCGTGTCCCATCTAACTTAGTGATACACATTCTGATCCAGTCCTGGGCAAAATAGCAGGACCCCTCTCTTAGAGCATAAAACTAGTTTTTCATTCAAAAAAGGGAAATAGAGACAAATCAGATTTGAGGAGGCAAGATATGGAAAGCTGATGCTGAAAAAAAAACTAACAGTAGTCATTTACATTGTTACTATGCTTTGTGAATTGCAGTTGTTTTTCTTTCCCATTATAAATTTACCATGTGACAAAAGTAATCTCATTCATTAGGAGAGATCAATGTGTATTCGGTAAATCTTTAGGAAAATGCAATAAAAGTGGCTTTTGGACCAGGTTTATTAGATGTTCTTGATCTTTTATATTTTGAAGTGTCTTTCATTTTCTGGCTCTTACTGATTTCTTGCCATATCATGTTGTGTTTTTATTCTAATCAGCTTGTGTTTTATGCTTCCTGTATACACATAGACTGTGAGGGTGTGAGTTGGTATTAAGGAGAGGCTGTAGAGAAAAGAAAGCTGTGTTTAGAAAGGAGGCAGAGAAGAAAGAATGAACCATGTTGTCGTGCAATTTTTTAAAAGACCTTTTTGACATTGTTATGAGTCACATCTTAAACAATATAGCCTGGGTGTGCATTTTTTTCTTTTCTTTCTTAAAAGCAGTGACTGTAAACGTGGTGCCGTCATGTATCTTTTTCTGGGATTTGAGCTTTAACAAATGAAAAACTGTGTATAAAGGGAAAGAAAAAAAGACTGAAAAGTGGTGTGATTAAGGTGATGGATTATTTCCTCTTACCCAATACTTTCTTTTTTCAATAAGAGAAAAAGAGAATAATAAAGAAGCTAGTAAAAATATAGAAAGCCCATAATCAGAGTTCAGTGGTTGTTGACCAGGTGATTAATTTTAGCAACTCACAGTGTAGACCAGGTGTTGTTTGTATTGGAGGCTGTGGGCTTTGAAGGCAGCAGCAGCAGAGAGACAGGCCTGGTGTTCCACCTCTTAGCCACAGAAATCCAGGCAAGGCTGCACTCACATTAACGGTGCTAAGAGGAACAGCCACATCTGCAGACAGCTGTGGGCCTGGGTTCATGCCTGATCATGCCTGACAGTGCTGCACCTCGTCTCTCGGTTTTCACGGGATACCTTTCCACTGTCTTCCTTAATTTTCATCTGGATGGCACCAGGAAAAATGAGCATCAAAGGGCGATGAGGGTGGTGCTAGAGTTGGCTGGGAATCTATGCCTTAGGCTTTGGGCTCAGTTTACTTGGTGCCACTGGCCAACGTTTGCCATGTCTTACTCCTACTTCTCTTCCCATTCCCGCCCTCACCCCTCATTGCCTGCTTCCCAGAGGCCCTGCCCACCATTGCAACACCCCACATCCCAAGACTCAGGCTCCAGGCCCAGCCTCAGATTGCCTTCTTTTCTCCTTGGATTTCCTTTTCCCCTTGGCTCCCTCTACTAGAATCACTTGTGAGACGAAGAGAGGGTTAACTAGTATTCAAGCATGTAATCCTCTGATGAAAGGCAGAGAAGTATTCTTAAACCCTGCCAGGGCTCCAGATAGGCAGCTGTGGTGTGTGAATCCTCCTCTTTACTCCTCCTCCCCCATGTTTCCAGCTGCCAGATGAAGGCAAGGTGTTGCTGAGCCGGGCAGGAGGGAGATCAGACGTGTGAACCGCACAACTGCTTGCCTGGTGTCCTTGCCCAGGGACAAGGAGGCATTCTCGTGTGTGCGTGCTGCTCTACCATCAGAGGGGCAGGATCCGTCGCTCCCCTCCAAGTTGTTAGCAGATCTAAATAGTTCATCTAAACAGCTGCTCCGATCAGTTTGAGTATGTGCAGAAGAAAATGTTTCTCACCAATCTCTCACTCCAAGAACACAAAGCAAAAGCTGTAAAGAAGGTCAAGAAGTGTCTGAGACTTCAGCCAGTCAAGGAATCTGAATTTCAAAGCATTTTTAGGTAGACACAGGGTCGGGGACAGATGGGGAGGCCCACAGGGTTTCTGAGCTCACTGAAAACTTCAGCCACCCTCCCGCCATACACTGCTCATAAAACAAATGGAAAAAGTCATTTCTCAGGGATGCTTTGACTTCAACGTTCTTTTTCCAAACAAATTAAAGGGTGTGACCACATTTTTCTACTATCTTCTATAAACTTTGCTAGAGAAGTCAAGCTTTTTCTGTTGTTTGTTTAATCTCACAAATTACATAAACCTTTCTCCTGAAATCTCCCATCACCGGCACTTCATTTTCAATAGGTACAGAAAGGAGTACTCGGGCAGGCCAGGCCAGGCCTAGGACAGTATTTATGTGCAAAGACCTTTTTCCGCTCACAGAGAAGATTCACCATTGGTGTCTTTCAAAAATATTTCTTTTGGGAACCTGGCGACTCTTCCAGATCCCGGTGACAAAGCTGTAGCAGATGCTTTCTCATTTCAGGAATGTGGTGAGAATCTGACCCTGGGACACACCAATCCTGACAGGTTCAGAGCAGGAGGTGGCAAGGAAAAGGGACATTTCTGGTTCTGTCCCTACCCTTCTTTAATGGAAGGTAAATCATAACTATTTCAGGTTATAGAGGAAAGATATGCAGTCTCTATTGCAAGCACTCAACTCTGCCACTGTAGCACAAAAGCGGCCATAGGCATTATGAAAACACAAGAGGATGGCTGTATTCTAATAAAACTTTATTTATAAAAGCACCCAGCAGTCTGGGTTTGTCCCATTGGGCTACAGTTAGCTCACTGACAGGTTAAAGCACAGTCTGTTTCTAGTCTTGGCTCTCCCACTTAGTAACAACGCAGGTTTCTCTTGGGTTTTACTGTGTGCTGCCCTGCCTTCCTCCTCTATTTTCCTCAAGGTGAAACCAGGAGAAAATCACTTATTCTTTCAAGTCCTCATATCTACTACTTGAGGGTCATGAGGAATAAACAGTGATGCAGCCCATAGACCAATGGCTAACGCACAGAAATTGTCCACTCACTGTAGCTTTCGTTACAGCCATATTTCCTAGTTGCTCATCAATCAGTGACCCTATTTGTAAACAGGAATGGAAAGAACACTACCTAACATGCAATTTTTTCCCATGCTTGGCTTCTCAGTATTTATTGTTTTTCAAAATTCAAATTCTTTGCATTCATATTGCTTTTCTCCAGGGGCTCGGAACATTTTACATATGGGAGCCTGCTCGACCTTGCAAATGTGTGTGAAGTTATTGATGATTTAAATAGCCTGCTTTTCATTACCTCAAAGAATGAGAAAACTTTGTAGAGGATTGGGGGTAGAAATTAATGAAAAATAGTTCAGGAATTGAAAATGGTTTCCAACTGGAAAAGAGAAAGATATGTGAGTAAGTGGTAGAAGTTAGAGCAATCAAAGAGAAAGTTATACCAGCCCATCACCAGCCCCAGGCAAGGCTGACGTCTCACCAGCATCCCTTCTCCAGGCTTAGAGTAACTCACCCAGGCTTCTTTGTTGTAAAGCAATGGCCCAGACACCTTATATGGCTGAGGAAGCCAATGGGGCTAAAATCAAGCTATTCATCAACCTGGGCACCTAGTGCAGTTGGCATCTGCCCAGTATGGGCCCCTTTTTTCACCTCATCCAGGTATCATATGAGTGAGCAGAATATCTACCATTTTCTGTGCAGTACTAGTGGGTCATCAACATTTTCTGGAGAGTCTGAATATTCATCCAAAATGCATTCGTCCAACTATCTGTCCATCTTGTCTGTCTGTCTATCTATCCATCTATCCATCTATTCACCCATCCATCTGGCATTCATTAGCTGGCTCCTGTTGTTTGGAAAAGTGCTTTGGGTAGAGTTTAACCCCAAATGACTTACCACCCTCCTTTTCTATCACTTGCAAACCACACCCTTGTCAGCATATAACCCTTCAAGGTTGTGACAGAACCAGGTTCCCATCTGACACAGTCCAACTACTTTGAGAATTGAGTCTCTTTACCCAAAGAATATTCTGAGAAACTTGTGGCCCCCAGCTGTAAGTCATCCAAAAATTAGGGATGACTCATAGGAGGGGTGAGGAAAGCATTGTTAGTTGTATCCTCTTTCTTTTAACCCTCTTATCATTAAAAGCATAAATTCACATAGTGTATTTTCTCAGTTCTCCAAATACCTATCCAAGGAAAACATTTAAGGAAGCAACGAAATGTCCCTAAATGGCTTTTTTCACTAACATCTTCTACATGTTGATAAAAGTGGGGAAAAGGAAAAGAAGGGGAAGATGGTCTTATACTAAAGAGAAATCTATCTTCCAAAACAGAGCACAGTTCAGAGCCGAGAGGTCTGTACCCACAATTCTGAATACGAAGTTTACACATTGGGATTTAAATTTCCTCTGGCAAGAAGACAGATTCTCCTACTGCCCCCAATTTTCTTTCTATCATCAGAAATGCTTTAAGAGTAGAATTGAGGTGTCATCCTTCCCCACCCCAGCACTTGAGCCCTGTGTGGTGTATTTAATGGTGGAAACCAGCACGTTGAGACTTGTGGTAATGTAGGGAGCATAGGTAGTTATGAGTGTGTTCTGCTTGACAAAAATTTGTGCCCCTGCCTTTGTGGTCTGGCCAGGCACTTCAGAGGGGGCTTACACACTGGATTTGCCACCTTCTTTCCTTTCCTTATAAGATGGCCCTCATCGTAGAGGCATGGCCAAGCATGCTTTGTGAGAAAAAGAGCAATGGGTCTGGGGAAATCAGGCCCATCCCTGCATACTTTCATAATGCCTGTGTATTTCTGTAAGCTCACATAAAAATCCAATGGCAGGACAGTTGCCAGGCACCAAATACTTTGGTGACCTGAATCATGAGTTGACACCCATTCACTGCAACTCACAAGCTGGCCATATGAAGGAACTGTTTTCAGTGCCTGGCTTTCTCTTTCTCTCTGTTTCTATGCATAATTTCCAATATGACTATAAATAAAAGAGAATGAGCATCAGAAGGTCCTTTTTCAACTATAGTAATAAAACTATTAGAAGAAATGGTTTAAGGAAGACAGGGAGCAGGTGGTAAGATGGGAGAAGACGAAGCTGTAGAAAGGGGCCTTGGGAGATGTCTTAGTTACTTTTCTCATTGCTGAGACAAAGTAACCAACACCCAAAGTTAAAGGAGGAAAGATTTCTTTAGCTCACAGTTCATAGAGGTTTCAGTCCATAATCAGCTGGCTCCAAGGCAGGGTGTCATGGAAGACAGGCATCTCAGAGGAGAAACAGTTCATGGTGGCCAGAAGATAGCAAAGCAAGCAAGGGACCTTAGCAGCTTCTTTCTGCCCCTTTCACACTCTATCTGGGCTACTGGGTTTAGGACGGGTGCCAAACCAATCAATGGACTGATTTAGTAATTACTCACCCTTGATCCCAGTATTACACACTCCAGATTCAGCCACCCCTGAAAAAGCCCCATCTATGACCACATGAGGATTTGGGGGATATCTAGACACAAGCCATAACAGGGATCTGGGATTCTGGGGTCCTCTGCACCCCAGACACGTGGCTGTTGCTGTCAGGGTGTGTGCTGAACATTGTTGTTGGGCTTCTGAGGACCCAAAAGGTACCAGGGAACCCACATGTTGGTGGAAGAGAGCTCCAAAACTGGAGGAAGCAGAAATCTTTCAAAGAAAGAACCTTTCCTCCTAAATAAATCTTTCCTCCTTTAACTTTGGGTGTTGGGTATTTTGTCTGAGCAATGAGAAAAGTAACTAAGACATCCCCAAAGGCCCCATTCTACAGCCTCATCTTCTTGCATATTATCACCTGCTCTCTGTCTTTCAAAGAAAGATCTTCCAAGAAAAAAATGGCCTCATTTTTCAACACTTTTGAGAAAATATTAAAAGATGTGATATACCTCCCAGCTGTTCCCCAATTGAAATTGGGGTTCAGGCTATAGGAATTGAGGAACCCTGACTCAGAATTAGAGGCCTCAGCTTTAGTTCACATACCCTTAGGTAGAAACCAAGATAAGAGTGATTTCCCCTGCTCCCATAACTGAGGGGGAGACAAGAAGATATAATTGAGCCCTGTCTCATTGTGAGCCCAGACACACCCACAGAGTAGGACCACTGATGATGTGAAGAAGGCAGCTGCACATCCCCCCCATGGCTTGCCTCCTGGGGTAGCTATGGGTAGAGAGGATACATCTTTCTGGCCACTAGAACTTGGTAAGATAGCTAAGGAGACATTTTTCATAGGTTAAGCATACATCATTTTTCAGAAGTAAAGATCATCTTGGTTTTGACAAGCTCAAAAGCTTCCCTTTCTGGGCCAGATTCTCATCTGATGTAAATCTTTGGGAGAATCAAGTTGTAGCACTGTTTTGCATCAAGTGGGACTCTAGCCAGTCTTTCCCCAGAGTTACTCTGGGCTTAAATCTACTACAGCATCTCCATGGCAACCAGCGGCTGGCCAGTGTATGAGGTTGCCTTCTAAATCCCCTGCTAGTTTCTCCTCCCTGCTCTGTCTTTCCCATTATTAAGAATGATCTCCTTCCCTTTCCTCTCACTCATTCTCCCTCTCCTGTACCCTCTACTGCTCTGTGCCCATATTTTCTGTTGCAACTTCCCTTCCAATCTGCCTTCAAAATCCTCCATTCAATTAAATTAAAAGAAGAAGAAGAAGATGCATTAGTCATTGCTTGACAGTGATAACTAACCTGTTTAGACAAGACCAGGCTGATTTCAGTGGGCACAGAAGCCCTAGCAAGCCAAAGTGGAATTTACCTTCAAGTCTCGCCAGCCTAATTAATACATTGTTTGAGAATGCCAGCCAGCCAGCCCACATATGGCATTTCCAGCCATTTGGAGAATCTGCCTAATCTAATACCAGTGTGTATTTATGTGTGTGAGTGTGTGAGTGTGTGTGTGTGTGTGAGAGAGAGAGAGAGAGAGAGAGCGAGAGAGAGAGACAGAGACAGAGAGACAGAGACAGAGAATTTTTCTATATGTTACTGAGTCATTACGGTTAAACAGGAAGAAAACCAGCTTTGTAACGTACAGCTGTCGGTTGCGTTCGCACACTTGTTACTTACCAGCTGAACAACTACAGTTGACTGAACGTCTCTGAGCCTCTGTCTCACGTGCCAAGTGAGTGTGGCGGTCCCTGCCCCACCGAGGCATGAGTAGGAGACAACGTGGAGCATTTAAAAGTGCTTGGCACATCCCAAAGACGAGCGCCCCTTTCGTCTCTGTCCCCTTCCCCATGCGCCCCAAAGCATGTGCCGAATGTGTATCTCTATTGCTCTCTCCTTTTCTTTTGTAAATAATTTCCGATAGTCCGCGTGCTCTCGCCTAGCAACACTCTCTGTGTCTCTCCCCCAGGGGGCACCCTCCCGCCGGGGACCGAGCCCACGGTGGACACGGTGCCCGTGCCGCCAGTCCCAGCCTACTGGTATTACGTGGTGGCCGCCGGGGGCGCGGTGCTGGTGCTCGTCTCCGTCGCGCTGGCCCTGGTGCTGCACTACCACCGTTTCCGCTATGCGGCCAAGAAGACTGATCACTCCATCACCTACAAAACTTCCCACTACACCAACGGGGCCCCTCTGGCGGTGGAGCCCACCCTAACCATTAAGCTAGAGCAAGACCACCGCGGCTCACACTGCTGAGGGCGAAGCAAGGATGCACCCAAACAAACGAGAAAGACTGCAAACCCGTGGCCTCGATTTTGCACTTTTTTCTCCGCGCCTAGTCTCTGTGTGAACGCACAGACAGCTCTCTCCCAGGCCCCAACCCTGAGCGCCATTGTCCACCCACCCATCCTCCGTGGGTTCATTTTCTTTGCTTCTTTTCTTTCTTCTACTTCATTTCTTCTGTTTCTCTTTCTTTCTTTTCCTTTCTTTCTCTTTCTTCCTTCCTTTCTTCCACCCTTCTCTCTCTTTCTCTCTTTCTTTCATCTTTCCTTCTTCCTTTCTTTTGTCATTCTGCACTAACAAACCCACCTCTAATGCTGCATCTTGGACGATGAGAAGAGATCACCCCTAGACACTTCACCACTCATGGCTCAGCTGGTTTCGCTCCAGAGACTGGCTCTCTTGTTTCTCCCTTGCCTTATCCCACCCTTCCTCTCCGTGGGCAGGCTGCCAGGTGTCTTGAGGGGAACCTGGCTCTGTGTGTTTGTACATAGTGTGCACTCTTGCGTGTGAATAGCTCTGTGTGTGTGGGTGTGAAAGAGTGTGGCTCATTGGGTAGGGGTTGAGTGTGTAGAGAGGACCCCTTTCACGCTTGTGTTACTTCTCCTGGGGTACATGTTACAAGAAAATAATATGCCGTCTATGTTTTGTTTACTTGGAGAAGAGATTGAAGCTTTTTGTTGCCTTATCTAGCTATGGCTGGCCTTCTGTTGACTGTCATTGTCATCTCCAGGCACCTAGTAAAACAGAGGGCACATGGAATGCAGCGTGGCCCATCCCTTCCCATCCCCCACCGGAGAGAAAGGTTCCCCTAGGGCCCTTGGATGTGACCCCCTGGTCATGTCTTCTGGTGTCTTTGAAGTCCCATGATAACAGCCATTGGGTGTGTGTGGAACCATCTCTACTTCCAGCCCTGAAGCAAATCTGTGTCATTTTGCCTTATAAAAAAAAAAAGCTCATAATGAATGTTTAGCTTTGATCAGTTAAGTTCAATCAATGGAGTAAGTCATACAGAATAACAAATCTGGGACTGCTGTAGGAAAAGCAGTAGTCCGTTTAAATTGAGAGCAGGAGAGGGCTGGGGTTTTAGCTCAGTGGCGCAGTGCCTGTCTCAAAAGCGCAAGGTCCTGAGTTCGATTCCCCATACCAAGAAAAAGAAAGAAAGAAAGAAAAATTGAGAGCAGGAGGAAGAGGAGAGAAGTGGAGAGAAGGAAGGACCAAAATGGCTTTTAATATTGCCTCACCCTGGGGATCATTACCCAGTGTGGGATGATGGCAAGAAGGTTATAAAAAAACACATTCTTTGGTATTATATTGATCTTTGTAATAGCATTTGTAAAATATGTGGGGAAAAGGGGATCATTTGTTTTCCTTTCATGGTGTTAATGTGTGCCTGAATCTATAGCCACTAAAATATAAGGCTGTCCACCTGACTTATTTAAATATTATGAGAATAGAAAGTGATCGTTTGTTTAAATGTTCCAATGTACTACCCCTTACAGCACTCATAGCATCTGGCAAATACATCCTCATAGGCTGGCCTGGCATATCCAGATGTTGCCCCTTGATCAGAGAGAAGGTAGAATAAAGATGTATCTATTGCTGCTCATTTGTCTTCTTGAAGCAACGCAGAATGTTAGAAAGCAGTTGCCTGATGATACTGTGCAAAGTATGGGTTACATAATGAAGTCAGTCTCATTGATGGAAAATGTGCATTTTAAGATTTTTCAGTGTAGCACACTAAAGCTCAGCCTTGGGGGCATTGTTTTTTACCTTCCTGCTAGGAATCCACTGGGGAAGTGTAAAATTATCTCAAAAGATGGGTTGCCTGGGTTGAAAGCCTCCAGGTACCTTCTGGAACAAAATGCTAATGATTTTCTTTTTTTTTGGTTGCTTGGAAGAAAGCCTTTTGGCATTCTTTTGGAATATCCGCAATAGGTCCCTCCAGCACACTACACACTCACACTCAGCTTTCCCATCTGGTTCGTTTCACCCTCCTGAAAGAACAGTACTCTCTCACTCTTATTCTATTTCAAAGAGCTACTCAGTCTCAAACACAACAGCCCTGCCAAGAAAAGGAAAGATGAAAGCCTCAGGCCTGGCTACCTTGAGATTTCTAGAAGTGTCCTATCCCAGCTGAAGACAGAGAAGGGAGCAGGATGGGGTAGCAGCTCAGGATGTCCTGTGGTGGCCAACATGGCAGCCACTGAGGGGTTTGTATCACAGGTGTCCATATCCACTGAAGCCTTTGGGGCCAGGCGTTTCCTCCAGGTGACTGACGTTCCTGTGGGCCCCTCATGGAGGCATGGTATCAGGAAACCAGACCTGGAAAACCCAGCCAGGGTAGCAACTGGCTAGGTTACCATATTCCCTTGGGGATTCTCCATCTTTAAAAGAAGATGGCAACAACTTTGTAAACTTGCTATGTGTTTACCCCCTGCTCCAGGCAGCCTCATCCCATCATCGCTGTGTGCATGCCATAGTTGATAGGATGAGGTTTCTCAGATCTTGGTGGATCCTAAAGCATACTTCAGCTGGGTCTCTCTCTCTCTCTCCCTCTCCTCCCAACGCCAGCAACTTTCATAGTATTATCCAGCTACTATGCTAAAGGGGCAGCTCCACTGTAAAATCCCATGCCTTGCAGCTTTAAAAAGCAAAATTCTGTATTTTATGGAGGGAGAGAAGAGTCACTATCTTCTAAAAAATAAATGGCCTGGACAGGTGAATGCATGCATGCATGTGTTTAGAGTTGCTTCTCCAAAGAAAAGAGGTGATAGCAACTATTAAAATATGAATGAATGAATGAATGAATGAATGAATGGATTAGGTGAAGGCCTCACTTGGGCTGGTAAAGTTTTTGCCTTAGAAGAGATTTCCTGACAAAACTTCTAGACAGGGACCCCTTATCTTTGGGGTTAAAAAAAAAGCGCCCTTCCTTGATATTACGCTGGCAATCACAGCACCTAAGGCTGGCCAAGGCAGAAAAAGGAAAAGGAAAAGTCATAGCATTGCCACTGATGAAACAGGATGCTAAAATTGTCTTCTCCCTTGTCCTGAGTTTTTGGAATCACAACCAGAATAGGAAATCCAGTAATATCTCTGAGGTCGAGCCCCCGCCTTTAAAAAGACTGTCCTTAAAGTGGAACTAGCAGGCAAGCAAACACCTGAAAAATAGAAAATTACCAAAGAACAACAGCAAAACAAGAAACCCTAAAGATTTTTATTTCCTATTCTTCTCCCCTCTCCCTATAACTGTGACATCCTTGCATTGCTCTGTTGCCTGTGTGTCAAAATAACTTGTGGATGTTGGAAACTATTTGAAAATGTATTGTGTGGAATGTAATAAAATGATGATATTTTTATACAAACATCTGGGGTTTCTTTCTCTTTGCTGATGAGAACAAAGTTGAAGTGTAGGCTTTGAACAAATTGGTTTTTCCAAAGTCTACACATTGTTTCTGGGCTATGGGGCATTTCTGTGGGAGGTAGGTGGGTTTTCTCCTTAAAGGCTGAATGCCAGCTCTTCTTTCTTTTTATTTTTGTTACCACTTGTTAGGAGTTTTATCCAATTTGTGCAGCTGAGCCAACTTTTATGATTGGTGTGGGATTTTGTGAAAGTTGCTAAGTGCTAAATTGCTAAATATGATTCCACAAAATTTCTCTTGATGGCAAATCCCCAGAGATTGGACTGTACTGTCAAAGGGCCCCAGGAGGAAGGGACCAGCTAAGCTGAATCATGTATTCAGCTCTACTGAGACATTTCATTTCCTTTGGCAAAGCAGCAGCAACATCTTACTCCTCACCTTCCAAATTATTACTTCCATAGGGATGTTGATCTCCAATTTATAAGTGATTTCCCAGTGGGGGGAAAAATCAGAAACTTGTAGCATGTTCAGGGCTCAGATATTCTAGACTTCATTTTTGAACAGATAATGAAGATAATTATATGATTATTTGTGAACCTGGAACTATCATAGTGGAACATTTCATAAAAGGAATACACTAATCTAGAAAAACCTTGTGCCTGAGGAAACTTAGTCAAAAAGCCTGATCTTGTTTAATATGTATTTTTCTTAGGTCCTCTCTTTGAATAGTTAGTGATCTGGTTTTAGAAAATATTGTAATCAGAGGAAGCTTTGGAAAAAAATATATGGGAAAGATATCTCCCAATGGCTTAAGGTTTTTATATAGAGGCCAAGAATTGGTCACAAAAGGGTTTTCCGCAACTCCACATTTGTGAGGTGTATCCGAAGTCTCTCATTGACCCAAGGGCTTTCCTCAGTGATCCAAGAACCATCCTGAAAGGTTTTGAGGTGAGGCATGTGCCCTAGCAAACCCTCTTTCTGCCAGGGTCCTGCTTTTCTAGGTCTTATCCAGACTTTAATCCAGGAAGGAGTACTTTCATAGCTGGAAAGCCTCTCCAAATGCAGGTAAAAGGAGACAAGCTTCTGATTTTCAGATGTTACAGGAAACTATCTGTACAAGTAGTTCTGGAGAGGTGTCGGTATCTGTCCTCCATAGGAGAAGAAAATTAAATGTCCATGACTAGAACTTTAGAACATTGTCTGTTCCTCCAGTGCCAAGCACAGTTACTCTTTTTGTCTAAATAACATTTGGTTATCTTTGCAACCATTCGTTCCCATTAGTAAAAGGTACAAAAGTACAAGCATCTCAAAAGTGTTTCTTTCCAGCAAAGACCCAGGCTTAGTCAACATCTTCCTGAGCTGACCTAGAACCTAATTTGCCAGACTGAATTAAATGAGCCATCATTCATGATCCATTAGCATTTCTGGTTTTTGAGCCACTTTTGGGATCTGTGCCATCTTGATTCTAGTCGCAGGACTTATTTTAGGGATACTCTTTCTCCCCCAAAAGGGCAAAGACTGCTAGAACTTCAGTTTTACACATTGGACTGTTGACAGTAAGCATTCCTTAGCGTATTTCAAACTTAGCCCAAGCATAAATATTACAGAAATTATGTTTCTATGGATCATAAATACCAGATGTCAAGGCCCAGCATGGTCTGTTTGTGTTCCTACCTTGTCCTTTATGATGGTTTAAATGTGTGTTCTTGCTTCAACCACTGTCCTAGCTCCAGTGCCCAAACCCCAGCCAAACCAATGCGTTTTCCTCGCCTCTCTTCACTACCTCTGCAGTTGTTTGTGCACAAACATTGTGGCCTTTCTGTAATCTGTGATGAAAAGAGCTTCATTTTGAAGTTTTGATTTGTCTGCATTGAGGGCTGCACATCTAAGCCAAACTCCAGATCAGTAGGTGCGGGCTTGTTTTTTCTCTTTAATTGTGCAGAGCACTGGGGCTCTCACAGCTGTAATTTGCCTTTCATCCACTTCATTGATGGCCCAAAGAAAACACAAAATAAATCCAACCAGAGGAAAAGGAGGGGAGCGGGGAACACCAGCTCATGATCTTACATCAGCAGAGGAGGGAAAATACCTTATATAAATAAACTAGAAGCCAGGAATAGTGTAGGAGTTAATTAAGCCTAACACAGATCAGGTGCCCTGAGCATGTACAGAGGTCAGTTACAATCAGAAACCTGCACCCTTAGGAGTCATCAGACCACAAGTTTCAGCCAGAGTGTGTTTGCATTGACTGCTTGGAATTCTCCTTGGCCTCAAACCTAACTGGAAAAAGATTTGAGAAATCACCGAAGAGCAAAACCTCTTTTAACATGAGGTGGACCAATGGAGAACTTGGGAGCTTTGGGGACAAGCAGAAGCCATTCCTGCCCAGACACCTGAAACCAAGAGGCCAACAAACATCTCTCTTTGGAGTAAAGTAGTTGTTCTTGGGCTTTTCTGACACTGACCTCTGATAGACAAAGAAACTACAGTAAATTTCCATGGGCACTAGACCAAGAAATGAGGGGGACCATTGGAAAGGTCAGCAACAGAAGCAGTGGAGGCAGGACGGGGGGTAGGGTGGGAAAACATCTTTTCTTGGAGACACAGTGCCGGAGTGGTTGTTGAGAGAACTTTTATGATAATAATTGGCTGCATTTCTCTTTCTTTTCAATTCACAACTTATATGTCACTATGTTTTCAGAACAATAATACAGAAAAGCAAAAGTCCACTTCTTTGTTGACCAATTCCATTCTTCTCCCCAGAGGTAACATCAGACATGAATTGAGACCTGGTTTCCAGGCCTTGTTTTACACATTTGCAAACATATGTGTTCATATCAAGTATGTGGTTTGGGTTGCCTGGGATTTGGGGCTGTTTTCCGTAAATGGTATGATAGTGTTTGTTCACTTGATTGGACAACTTGCTTCTTCTCATTTGACAATGTCTCGAGGATACTTCGAGACACACCAACAGACTTACCCCATCCTTTTTAGCTGTTGCATAGTGCTCTGTATTATGTTGATATGCCATGGTTTACTAACTGCTCCCCGACTGGTGAGCATTTAGGTTGTGTCTAGTTGTTTGTGTGTTTGTTTGTTTGTTTGTTTTACCATTATAAATAACACTATAATGAAGTTACGTTTTGGGGCACCTGTTTCTCTTGAATATAATTTCTGAGTCAAATGGCATTCCTGTTTTCATTTAAACAGATACTACAAATAAGTGGCTGACGTCCTGTCCCTATTTGGGAGGTAACAGGTAACAGAAACTACTGGACATCCTGGATTAAGATCCCCTGCCACATTCACACAAGCTATATAATCTCTGTGGCCTTGTCGTTTTCTCTAAAGTGGGCCTAGAGTTTGAAAGGAAAGACTTTGGCAGTTTTAGCTAAAGGGAATTTTAAATTCAGAAAGTGCTTCCCTTTAGATTTTAAACTGCCAACTTGTAGAGAACATGGGCCTGGTTGTAAGTGGAAGCTGTAGCAAAGCAGTTAATTCTGTCCCTGGCTTCAGCAGACAGAGTCTTGTTCTCCATGATTAATGAGTTCCACTTGGTTTCCCCAAACAGTGACTACGCTGTGCCTGGCTGTTATTTATTTATGTTTTCTCTTTAAAAATTCATGTCAAAAACATCCTTTAAGGTCAGTGCACAGCACTGTGCAGCAGGCGCAGGTAGACACAGATGCCAAGAGAAAGGCTCAATTCCTTGGGGCTTGGGACCCTCTTCCCTACACTGGCCCTGAAAGGAGCAGACCTTCAGGGCATTTAGCATCCTTCCAAGGAGGGTCAGGGCTACAGGGACCAAAAGAAAGTCACTGAACAGCCAGGCAATAAAGTTGTTTTTTAGTGGGGTGTTTATATTTGTCAGTAACTTCACTGGCCCCACATGACTCCAGCAAGCAGAGGAAGAGGAAAAGAAGAAAAAAAAAACGGTCTTCCAAAAAGCCATTTCTAACAAGAGCACTGTCCTGATTTCTGTTGAGTGCTGAGACAAAAGAATCATAATCATGTGACTTGACTCTGAGCATAATGGGTAATAGCTATAACCGTATATCTTCTTTGTGGACTTTCTCTGGAGTGCCCAAAAATCTAGGGTTGCTGTCTTTTGGATATGGGACTGAAGCATACAACTCAGGGAGAAAGGGGCATGAGCATGAGGTCTAGAGATGTCAGCCCACATACACAATGCTTGTTTTGTCTTCTCTGTGTAATGGTGCAAAATTGAGCCCTTTTAATATCATTAACTTACATTCCCCCAAGAAAAGGCTCTGGTCCAGAACTGGAACCGTATTATATCAGGCCTTGGCTTTCAACAATAGTAATGTCTCAGTCTGCCCCCAGGACTCATTAACAGTATGCCTGGACTAGAGCTGTCTGTGACTTATTGAAAGAAGTCAGCTCCTGTAATGAAGGGAGTGTAGAGGCAGCTTTGAGCCAGAGGTGGCCCTGACCAAAGTCCAATTCTCAACTGTCTGCTGGTTATTGAAGCTTTGTTTTAGTACAAAGAACCTTTGTGTCCCTTTGAGTTTCCTTGCTACCAACAAGAGCCTTGGAGAAGGTACATAAATATTTGAGGGGCTGGTACACACCTACCCATTGCCTCTCTCCGGCAGTTCCAGCTGGCATAGAGGGGGAGAAGACAGGCATTCGGATCTCAACAAGGGATACAAGGTGGGTCAGAGGAGCCCCAGAGCTGTGTCCTTACCATTGTAGACCAAGAGTGTGATCCAAAAGCAGTGTCCATAGGAAGCCCTGGGCCCATCACTTTCTGGCTCTATAATTCCAGATGGGGCCACTGTCCCCACCTCGGTCCCCAAAGAGACCCCTATCCCCACCTCTACCTTTCCACTAGGTGTGGCTTGTCTTCAACCTCCACCCTCCCCTTCCTGATCTCTTCCATCTTGATGCCCCCTTTTTTTTCTCCCCTGGCATCCTCCACCCCCCCTCTGCCGGACCCTGCTTCCAGAAAATCATGGGTCAGATTCCATCATCCAAATGCT